TTATATGACTTTTGCATCATTATGAATGTTGATCAACTCTTGCAAAATATTTGAAGCTATCTAATTCCAGAACAACAAATCACAAACGAACCATTATTAATAGAAAAAAGACAGAATTGACAGATTTGCACCAAAGTAAATGAAAGTTTAAAGTTAAAAATATTGGTTATTTTAGGTTCACTGATTTGAAGGCTAGTTTTCAAAGCATTGCGTTAGATCAGAAGCCTGCTCAATCTAACGTGCACATTAATCAAGAAGAAAGTCAATTGATAGGAATATCTAAGTAACTTTTCTTTGAGACATACATTTAATATTGAATCTGAAAAAAAAAAGTTCTGTTGGCTAACATACTTGACGGACAAAACTTAGAACTTTGGAAGAGACATGATAACAAGTATGTAATTCTCACACTCATTTTTGGATACTTAAAGTAACATAGACAAAATATGAAAACAAAGTTTCTCATTCAAACTCAAAATGAAAATCAGCCCAAATTCTTCTTCCTCATTCTTCACACCCTGGATAAGACAACCAGATAAAACATTTTAAGTGCCATCTTCATAGATTCATGGTATTTAAGCAACCTATCTCAGCAAGTTACAGGACAAAAAACATTACAAAATCTTACTGAACAAACTTATGACCAAAATTCGTGTTGTAAATGGATATTTTATTTCAAAGAATGCAGGAGCAACTTTTTAATCAGTCATCTAAATGATTCAAATGTTCTTGTTCTGTCTCAGCTTCAGCAAGCTCTCTCTAGCAGTTTCACGCACACACACATTGATAGAGCAATGTAGCTCAAAAAAATAAAAAGATATTTAAAAAAATGAAAAACATATTTTGATGGAGAAAGTATCAGATAGTTAACCACCACTACTAGGGGCATCCAATCTTTCAACCACAATAAACCAAAAAATTTGGTATACCAGTTGCTAGGTCCAGGTTTAAGATTCATACATTAATCATACCCTTCAAAGTGACACTACTACTAGTTTTTAGTCTGTTATTCAACCCACATTCTGCCTCCCCATTTCTTTAACTCATCAACTAACCGTTAGCCAATCTTGGCATAACAACATAGCAATAGGATTGGCAGCAACCAACCCCTTCCCTTGCAACTTTTTTTGTGGGATCAAGACATACAACAGAAGGATTTTAAAACCTACAATTTTCTGAATAAGAATAAATCAATAAATATAGCATATTTCACTAGTTCTGAAAATAAATGAAGAGAGTAAATTATGTCCAAAACAGAACAACAGATTAATGGTGGCAAAATGTGCAAAAACACATGAATGGTGGCAAAAGACTATCTATTGATATAGGAATTGATTAGTTTCAGAGAGAGATACATCCAGATGCTATCACTAAAAAAAGCTTTTACTCATTTGGATAACTCCTTATGTATTTTTGCATTACAATAGGAAACATATGGTACAACTGCAATCAATACTGTTAGCTTAGAGAAAAGGTTTTGCAAGAAAAAAAGCTTAACAGTATCAGTTCAAACCCTCAGCAGCTTGCTATGTGAGGCGGATGTAGCAAATAATAACCCTTCATTTTTTGGCTCATTCCCAACCAATGCACTTTTTGACTCAATTGGAGACAACCTATCTGAATTATTTCCAATCCTTTTACAGTTTAAAAAAAAGTTCGTCCATCAAAATGGAATACTAAAAACTTATAGCAGAGAGACAATAAAAATAGATATAAATGACTGGTAAAAAAAAAAAAAAAAGCTACCTCCACTACACTGCATCAGGAAATTTCCCTTCCTCTCCAAAAAAACTACAAGAAAGGCAGTAGCAGTTGCATAGACCTAGACAATGAAGAAACCCAAAATTATTCAAGGAAAATGATAAAGCTGAACGAAGAAAAAAGAAAGGCCAAAATTTTTACCTGAATGATAAAAGATCCAACTCCACTAGCACCACCCAGAACAAGAAGTGATTTACCAGCTGAAAGCCCAGTGCTTTCAAGTTCCCCCGTATGCTATTTGAACGGCAACAGGAAGTTAGCTGCCTCGGCAAAACTCAAATTCTTGAGCTTCGAAGCTAGTACCTTCTCCTCCACTGTATTGTACTCCGCCAGTGACACACATCCCTTTGGGTACAAAGCATGCTCGTGAATGTCTCTGAATACCTCATCCCCTACCTTGAATTCCCTTACCAAAAAAATTTTGTGAAAAAAAAAATTAGGGCAAATTTTGCAGAAAAAGATGATTAAATCCACGACTCAAACTAGCCACCAAAAAATTTTGCAAAAATATACTTGGGGAAAAATTTAGGCAAATTAATTGGGAAAAATTAGGGAAACAAGTAGAGACATAAGAGGACCTAGCTAAGCATTGACCTTGTAGAACTGGAGGACGGCAAGCTTGACCTTCTTCTTCTTGTGCTTGATCTTCTTGGGCTTGGTGTAGGTCTTCTTCTTGCGTTTCTTGGTGCCACCACAGAGGCGGAGGATAAGGTGGAGGGTGGACTCCTTTTGGATGTTGTAGTCGGCTAGGGTGCAACATCCTCCAGCTACTTGTCGGTGAAGATGAGGCACTACTGGTTTGGGGGGATGCCCTCCTTGTCCTGGATGGCAAATGGGAGGAGGAGATAAGGGGTTTGAGGGGATCCATTCATCTTCCTGGGGTTGGGTCTCTATGTTTTCTATTCCAATGTTTTACCCACATCACATTGCAACCGGTTCTGCAGAAATGATAGTGTCATTTTCTCTTTCTGATGCTTTTAATTGTAGCCGTGAATTGGTCTGAAATGGAATTCGTGAGGCCCCGTTTCCTTTTCTGTCACCAATGTTCTGTATTCTCTTGGCTGCCTGCCCGCCTCCATTGCTGCTAGGGTTTTGGAAAATGAATAAATGGGGTTGAGAATAAAGAAGTTGACTGAAGGATTGAGAGTGTGAAGAGTACTGAAGACATCTGGATGTGGGGAGTAAGAGTGGTTCCTTATATAGTACATGTGCCACTTTTTTTCATTTTTAGTTTGAACAAATTTCTGGTACTACTCAATCAAGACAATCCAAGTCAATTTTTAGCTTCAATTTTTATTTAAATTTACTAATGTATTTGTACTCACTACTGCTTAACATATTTATTAAAAAATTATAATAGATGAAATTTTTTTGCTAAATTCAAAGAACTGGTAAATGTACTCTTTCTCAAGTTGTAATAATTTATATAGTTGTTCTAACTAGAAACTTTTATTAATTTTTTTCAGTTAAAAACTTATTATTATTTGAGTAACTATGACTAGTTTAATAAATCATCAAATTTTAAAAAAAATTAAATTAATATTGAGGCTCACAATTAAATAAATGCATTGGAGATGTTCAAGTTAGTGATGATACTATGTTGTCATTAACTACGCTATAGTTTTACTGACAAAAAATGGTCGTCAATAAATATAAATAGTGACAACAATGAAAAGTTGTCAAAGAAAGAGATAGAATTACTGACAACTTTTATCAAGTTGTCACTATCGCAAAACTTGCGCCTTCCAAGTCCCATGGCGCGAAGTAGTTTTGTGACGACAATTAAGAGTTGTCACTGAAAACTTAGTTGTTTTGATTCAATTGTGATAACCTTCAAAGTCGTGACTAAACAACCTCATTTTGTGACGACTTTTTGTCATCACAAAGAAATGTTTCACTAATGACCTTTTTTGTTATAGTGACCTTACCATCATATTTTCTCTTTCATTTTTTCGTTCTCATCCCATCTTTCACGGCAGCCTCCCATCACCATCATTTTCTCTCTTTCTTTTCTTTTCACTCTCTCCTCTAATCCTCCATGGCAGCAGCCCAACCCCATCTGGTTCTCTCTCCTTTCTTGTCAATCTCTTTCTCATTTTCCCTTTTCTTCTCTTTTCACTCTTTTCCTCTCTCCTACAATCCTCCACGACAATCGCTCCTCTCTATCTGGTTTTCTCTTCTCTCTTTTTTTTTTCTTTTTGTGTAAGCTTTTCTCTTATCTCTTGTCAGTCGCTCTCCCATGCTCCACAAAATTTTAAAGTTGATTGGTGGTGGTTTAAGAGAATTTGGTGAAACATGAGTATTTAAAGGCTAGGAAGAAGGAAGCAGGAAATGGGAAGGAAGAAAAAAAAAATAAAGACAAGAAAACGAAAAAAAATTGATTCCAAAAACTTATAAGTATATACCAAACACTAATTATTATAATGATATCCTTGATGAGAACCCATACTCAAATTTTGGACATGATTCCAATTACAATTCCGATTCCTAAACTTGAATCAAGCATTCCCTTAGAAACGGAAAATGAAATAGATGCAACGGCTAAGTGGGAAGATGTATAAATCTAACAAAGTTTAGGGTAGTAGAGTTGATAAAAAGGGTACCAAAATTCAAGCTACATTAAAATTTTCCCTACATTGTGAGTAGTAATTTACTTCACAAATTTGTAGATCACTTAGTATAATCAACTTTTACCATGGAATTGGCTCCTTTCTAGTGTATTCTCTTTCCATATTTTACAATGTACATCTAGATGCATAACATGTTTTCATTATTAGGAACATAATCATTTTAAGTTCGACTAATCCTAACTCTTATTAATAAATGAAGATATGTATACTGTGAAAAATGAAGAGAGTATCCATTGAAGAGAAGTCAAATCCGCTATATAGCAAATAAGTTACTTCATATTTATCATGCAAAGTAATTAATAAAGCCCCAAAAACTAGAAATGCTTCAATTTTACCTCCAACGAAGCTTATATTTCCTTTTTTGATCATGCAAGATATTGTTAAAAGTCCTAATGAGTGATTATTCAGCTTCTTCATAAAAAAAATATTCAGCTTCTCAACTCATTGGGAGCATGATTGTTGATTTACAATCAATAACGGTATTGTCAATAAAGTTAGATTCAATTTTATAATGTATCATAAGAGCCAAATTACAACATTTTCACTTTTTGGAGCTTAATTGAAAACTTTTGCTCCTTTTTAGGGCCAACAAAAAATTATTCAATGTAGAATAACCTTTAGGGAGGAGGAGAGTGAGAAAAAAAACATTTTTGGATTTTGCAAAAAGAGTATATAAACTTGCTTATGACCTAATCCCTTTCCCCATCTACAAGATTCCTCCAGATTTTTCAGGTACGCTCCTCTCAAAACCCTAGCCCCCCTTCCTCTTCATTCCAAACACCCCGTTCTTGACTACCTTACTTCGATTGGATTTGCTGTGCTAATCTCTGGTTCTTCTTTTTCCGATCTTTTTTGGTTTTAGGATCGAAGAACCAAGTATACGCTGGTAAGGTAATTACATCTGTCTTTTATTCGATTCATTTTTCTTCGTATTTCCATATTTTTACATATTTTAAGGATGCTCTGATTTTATATTTCTCCAAATTCCTCTTTGCGGTGATGGAAGTCATACGTTCGTTTCATTTGCTCGATTTTTGCTTGCAGTCTCGATGTCTGTTGGTTGTGTTGACTGATATATTAACTAGTTAGCTGATTATTGATTATTTGGTTTGATTTTTTCGATTTGTTTATTTATTTTCTGAACTAGGGCTTTCGTGGCAACATAGGTTATTTACCCACGATCTGTACATTTCTTATATTTATGAAAAATTTGATGTGTAGTTTTGCTTTGAGTGACTGACAATGGCAACTACTGAGCAACCAAAGGCAGCTACCGAGGACGCGAAGATTGATCTTTTTGAAGACGACGATGAATTTGAGGAGTTTGAAATTGATCAGGGTATGTCAACTCCCTTGCTTGACTTTTTACCTCTAATCACTGTCGAGTTTCTTGTTGTTCTGATTTCAGCGTAATCTTCGGTTTTTTTAGTCAAAGTAAATACTTTGAACGTTTTTATTTCCGCCTGTTTGATTGGTTTTTGCTATATGAATACATGTGTTGTCTGCACGGTAGATGCACCGCAAAGTGATGTCATAGATAGGTTAGGTTATTTTGTTGTATATATTAATTACCGAATGCAGTTTGTTTCGAGATTTTGATGCCTGTAAGATGTAAATTGATTCTTGGTGATTCTATGATTTTCTTTTCCTGTGTGAGACTGTTATTGTTAATTAGTATTTTACATGTATCAAAGAATTTTTTTTCACCTGGATATTCTGGGGAAAGAGTTGCAATGAAGATAGAATAGGAAATCAAGTGATTTAGCAAGAGTTCTTGCAAAATGTGAACCTCTTTCTATTGGTTCGTATTCACTGAGCACTCTCTTTTTCCCTCTTTCTTTTTGAATACCAGTACAAATTCTAAAATCTTACATTTTCACTCATGATTCACCAACTACAAAACCGAAGGTCCTATGGACGAGATGTAATTCAATTCAATGCATTCTCGGCCAAGTTTGCCTTCGGATAGCATAGCTCTGGAACCCCAGATCTCCGACTTGGATTCATTCTGATTCGGTCGTTGATGCAGATCTATCTTTTCGATTCCTACATCTATATGTATATGTATATTGTCAACCCTTGGAATAATAATTGTGAAGGTCCCAGCGGAGGGGTAAAGAACTCTGCAAATTGAGGCCTCTCTAACGAGTTGATTCAAAACCTTCGCAAATTTACTTATTGGCTGAATCGTAGGATGCTCCAAATTATTCTCTATTTTGGTGCTTCTGGAACCCTCAGCTATATATACGTTGATCTTGATCCCTGCCGGTCCCTTTCTTCCTCCCTTTTCCTTGTGCAAATGACCGCTTCAGGACTTTTAGCTCTTGGCCTTCAAAATGGCTAGGCATTCATGACTAGCCAAAGCCTCCCAAACATTTGACACCCCTTCCTCTGTTTCTTTTTATGAGCAGCTTAACGTGTCTGGGTCTGCATGTACGCATGTTTCAGTGTGTGTGTGTGTGTGTTTTAGACATATTCCAGGTCTAGTAATAGTGTTCATGGTGCTTCTGGTGAGGGAGGGTCTGTAGATATGTTATTTGTAGCATGTTTCTTTGTGAGCACTGAAGGGGAAAAGAAGGAAGGGAATGCGGAGGAGGGAGGATGCCAGATGTTTTTCCCTTTATCTGGGTTGTCTGGAGTAGTGAGTCATGATAAAGTATTGCATAAGAAATTAAGTGATTTTGTTGGATGTTCTTGCAAAACATGGACCTTTCTGTTGGTTCGTATTTTTACTCAGGACTCTTCTTTTCCCTTTTTGTTTATTTTATTACAATTTCTCAAATCTTGCATTTTGACCTGCAAATCACCAACTACAAAAGCGAAGGTGTTATGGCTAAGATGTCATTCAATTTCAAGCATTCTCAGCCAATTTACCTTCGTATAGCATAGCTCTGGAATCCCAGATCGCCCGTCTTGGATTCACTCATATTTGGCCTTTTGTGCTGATCTATCTTTTCTTCTTTCTCATGTCTATATAATCTTACCCTTTTTTTGTCAATTCTAGGAATAGTAATAGCAAAGGCCCCAGTGGAGGGGTAAAAAAGTAAAAAACTCTGGTAACTGAGGCCCCTTCTAACAATTGAATGTAAAACCTTTGTAATTTTGCTTATTGGGCCGAATTGTGGGATGTACCAATTATCCTTTGTTTTGGTACTTCTGGAATCCTTGTCTATTGATCCTTCTGGGTGCCAGCCCCTTTTGTCCTCTGATTCTAGCTGCAGGCCCCTTTCTTATGCCTTTTCCTTCCTCTGCTAACCACGACTGCAGTATTCAGCCACCTGCCTTTCAAGTTGGTTAGACCTTCATAATTTCCCAAGCCTCCCAAAACATTTGATACCCCATTTCTTTTATGAACAGGTGAACATGTGTAGCCTCTGCATGTATACATTTTGTGTGTGTTTTGGTGCGTTTGTGTTGTGTTGTGACATTTCTAACTCTGTTATTAGTGTTTTTGGTTCTTCTTGTGAGAGGGAGTTCTGTAGGCATGTCTGTTTTAATGTGTTCCTGTGTGAGCATTTTAGGGTTAAACGAAAGGAACGGGATGTGGCGGAGGGAAGATGTCAAATGTTTTTTCCCTTTACCTGGATAATTTGGAGTAGGGAGTTGCAATGAAGATAGCATAGGAAATCTGAGTGATTTTGTGAGATATTCTCTCAAAATGTGAACCTCTTTCTATAGGTTCGTATTCACTGAGCACTCTCTTTTTCCTTTTTTATTTATTTTATTACATTCTTAAATCTAACTTACATTGTTGTTCGACTACAAGTGAAGTTCCTATGGACGAGATGTAATTTAATTCAATGCATTCTTGGCCAAGTTTGCCTTTGTATAGCTTAGCTCTGGAATCCCAGATCGCCGACTAGGATCTACTCCAATTCGGTCCTTTATGCAGATCTATCCTCTCTTTTTTTCCCACATCTATATAGTCCTTTTTTATTAATTGTAGCAATAATAATGGTGAAGGTCCCAGCAGAGGGGTGAAGAACTCTGGAAATTGAGGCCTCTCTAACAATTTAATGCAAAACCTTCGTAAATTCACTTATTCGGCCGAATCGTAGGATGCCCCAAATTATTCTTTGTTTTGGTGCTTCTGGAACCCTCGGCTAAATACAAATTGATACATCTTCCTCCCTTTTTGTTACTATTCAAACCACCAGTGCAGGACTCAGCCCCTGCCTTCCAAAGTGGCTAGATTTTCATCACTTCCCTTGCCTCCCTGACCATTTGAAACAGGTATTGTGTGGGTCTGCATGTATGTATTTTCTTGTTGTGTTTGAGTGTGTTTGTTTTGTGGGCATATTGAACTTTGTTATTGATGTTCATGATGCTGCTTGTGAGCGGGAGGGTCTGTGGTTATGTTGTGTGTGTGTGTCCTTTATTTTTAAAAATAATTTAAAGCACTGTAAGGGGAAAAGCAAGGGCTTGTAAAGGGAAGATGTGTTTACCACAAAAACGAAGGTCCAATTGATGAGGTGTAATTGAATTCAATGCATTCTCTGCCAAGGTTTCATAGCATAGCTTTTCCCCCTTCAGTTCAATTCGGTCTTCTATACCCATCTATTTTTCTTCTTTCTCATATCTGTAGTCTTTTTTTTGTAAATTTTTAGAATGATAATTGCAAAGGTCCTAGAGGATGGCTAAAGAACTCTGGAAGTTGAGGCCTCGCCAACAATTGAATTGAAAACCTTCATAAATTTACTTAATGTGGCCATATCATAGGATGCCCTAAATTATCCATTGTTACAGTGCCTCTGGAATCCTTGGTTATAAATCGATCCCTCTATCTGCCAGCCCCTCTTTTCCTACCTTTTTCCTTCCTCTATGAACCACTGTTGCAGGACTTTCTGCCCTTGCCTTTTACAATGGCTAGGCTTCCATTACTTCGAAGCCTCCCTGACCATTTGACACCCCTCCCTCTTTCTTTATATCAACAGGTCAACCGGTGTGGGTTTAGTTCAGTGTGTTGAGTTGGAGTGTGTGTTTCTTTGTGAGCACCAAAGGGGGAAAAGAAAGGAAGTGGATCCAGAGGAGGAAAGATGCCAATTGTTTCTCTGGTTACCTGGATATTCTGGATAAGAAGGGGCTCTTTTTTTGTTGGGGGGGGGGGGTTTCTTTCTGTCAAGTGCATAATTATTGAGTCAGACAGGTGGACCCTTATCAAACTGCCCCCACGTTGGAGCTTAATTGTTGTTTATCTTTAGGGCTATATTTGTTTGGCCAAGAAAGTTCTGAAATGTATTTTGCTCTTAGGGTATGTAGAGTAACCATTGTTACTTTAGGTTGTTTTAATGGCTGTTCATACTTCTTATTTGTTCTGTTTGGCTCTCTTGTTATTCTGTAGCTGCTTGCTTTTATTTTTGATGTTTTGCTGTAAAATGCACGCAATGAGGTAAATCTTGACACGTATGATAAGTTTCACTCAATTGAGATTCTCATTCAATTCCTCATGCTACTAAAGTCTCACATGTAATTTCCACTTTCTTGCAGTTTTGCTGGTTTGTGTTTTAGCATTATTATTTGGAATTCTTTGTTACCATTAAATATGTGTTTTGGTGATGATAACGAAGATTCTGATCTTGCATAGGTTCATTAGACGTTGTCTGCACTTGTATTTTAATCATTTCTTCACTTTATTGTGAAATGGCAGAGTGGGAGGACAAAGAGGAAGGCAAAGAAGTAACCCAGCAGTGGGAAGATGATTGGGATGATGATGATGTAAATGATGACTTCTCGCTGCAGCTTAGGAGGGAGCTGGAGAGCAACAATGAGAAGAACTAAGCTAAGTGTAGAGATGATTGTTACTATTTCTGACACTGTGCCTTGTACCCTTGGTTAAAGAGTAATGGAGATTTGATGAATCTTAATGCGCTAAGTTCATGATCTGGAGTTTTAATTATTTTTTCTTTTAAAGGAAAACTTGCAACTAAGGTTTTTCTGACGCATATGGCAATACTTTGGTCAGAACCACCCAAAAAAAGATAAAAAAAAGGAAAAGATAAAAGATGGACACTTCGTAGAATGCTTTCGGGAAGCACCTCCTTTGTTGGATGATTATCTGTATGCTGATGAATAATACAACATAAACCAAAGAATGGCAAGAGCTCTACCTCTATGGTTTTCTCTTCTACAGAAATGGGTACCTTGTTAATCATGGGAGCGTGTGAGCTCCGTAGAACTGACTGCAGAAAAGACAGTTTGATGTTCAACTTTCAGCTTGGTTGTTTGGTTTGTAGATTTCTCATAAACAGCCAATGGGCACGCTTTTATTTTATTTTCAGGAGTATGAATGCATCTCTTGGCATTTTAAGGCGGCAAAACAAGCTAATGTTCAATTTTCTGGACACTGTAGTTGGTTTTACACCAATCACTGCAATGACAAGGCCATTTTCTTTGGGGTTTTGGAAGGTAATGTCCCTGGAATATGGTTAAAAGCTTTCTTCTTGGACTGGAGAGATCTTAAACATTTGGACTTGTAGGTTCCTGGGTTTATGATACATTACTAGAGCATTTTAATGCAGCCTTTATATGATAAATATGTATGTACGTAAAACTGCTTTAGATTAGCCATCTCTAGGCGAATTTATTCGAGAATCATGTGATGTACTTTCTCAAATATCATTTGTAGACTAGTTTTAACTAGGTGTGGTCTCATCATGGATGCATGTCATTTTGTGAAGGATGAAAATATTTTTCCTACCTTTCGTTTTGAGATATGACATTTAAGGTGGCTCTTCAATTTGCTTTGGCTAGCTATTGTTTGGATGCGAAGGATCTTATTTGAAAGTGAAACAAAGTCAAGTCATGTTTCCTCCTGCTTATATGGTTCTAGGGAAATTGAAAGACTGATTTGGCTCGTCACTTTATTCCATTTTGTATCTTTCAAAGTTTTGAAGGTTTGCAAAAATAGTTTTAGTTAGACAGAGTGAACCATTAACTGTTGGCCTTTCAGTTTTCTTATCTGTTTTGAAACAAAAATGTTCTGCTAATTGAATTTTATTACCAACTTCAGAATTTGAATACATATTGTCATGTGGCTACGAAGTGTATGAAGTCCTAAGTTCCATTTCTGGACCCTATTCGAGCTAGTTTGACTGTAAACAGCTCTCATTTGCATGACTTAGCAGTGAAGAAGACGAGAGAGTGCTCTAAATCCCTTCAAACGTTTGATGTATCTTTATGAATCTGATCATCTTTTTTAACACGCCATCCATTGTGATGTGCAAGCTTATCAGGGAGCATATCAAAATTGTCCTGTTGCGGGGTTAATGCGACAAATTTGTCAAAAAAAAAAAAAAATAAAACAACTATTTCTAAAGCAGTAGCATTTTCAAGTATGAAAGACCCAACCTTCGTCACATTAAAAATTCACGCGTTGCGATAAGGAAGTATTTCAGACTGCTGGAAATATTTTGTTTGAGCAACAGAGCAAGGTACAAGTGGTGGGCGTTTGGGATGATTAGGATCACGTGGTGGTCTATCCCTGATTCTACTCTTAAGCTTTTCCCCGTTCCCTTGATCCCTTTCCTTTATCCCTTGTAAGAAGGTTTAGAGCTTCTTTAGATCTTTAAGAAAAGGCCTCGTTATGAAGTATGAGCGAAACAAAAGGCTTTTGGACTTTGTATCTGTTCTCTCTCCTATTTGGTTGGAAATCTCTTCTTGGATGTTGACAAAAATGCAAGAAGAACAGCAGTAGACTCTTTAGTTTGTCCTGCGAGTTGAGTGTACACGGCGGGCAAATACTAGATGGATTTCTAAGATCAATAGAAGTAGTGAACGCATAGACCTCTAGATAATTTCTGTACACCCTATTGCATGAATGTATTTTAAACCCTTTGTCTTCAGTTGTAGTAGCATTAGCATAATAAATTTTCTTCTTTGATGTTGTGCTTGTAAAATAACTCTCTAGTAGAAGACACGCATATGTGGGCTTCAGACATCTGTAGACTAGATATGTCTTCTAGGATTTTGCACGGGCTTTTTTATGAAAGTTTGCTTCTTGACATTTTGGATGATTTTATTTACTGTACAAGTCGAATAATCAAAGCCAAGGATCTCAAGGTTGATTTGGATGCAAGGTTCTGAGGTCGCTATTGCATAGCCCTTCCAAATTATTAATCAGATTTCACTACTTTAAAATCAACCTAGGTCTAACTTTTGGATCCCAAATAAATACAATACACATAGAAGAAAAACAAAGTTGATTCCAAACGATAGGAGAACAATTTCGGTTGCTTGACAACTTATTACAAACCAGGGACACTGCAGTTAAGACTTCGGGGTTGCATACAGGTGATGTGTATTTTTCATGAGATTTGGGATACGCTAATGTATAATGTTGTTGTACTGTTACGAAAGTTGATTTACATAAAACTGTAGTAGCCCCATATGGTATTGCTGTACGTACAACCATAGTGTATACCAATTCATCACACATAAACAAATTATTAACTAACTGAAACTGTCCTAGGTTCACTTACCAATCCATGATTAAGAGGAGTTAATCTTGTGTAGTTACTTATATCATGGATGAGTTGATCTAGAGTTTCCCATGAGGAACCACCTTCTCTCATTGCATCACAAGCAGCTTCTCCAACCTCTTCCATCTTTTTCCTTACCGCCTCCCCTTTCGTTCCTTGTATCAGTTCTTTCACTCTCTTCTCCACTTCCGATGACTTCACAAAGCCCCTCACAGATCCATTGCATGGCATAATTCTCAGGCCTACACCAACCTCCTCCGATACAAGTCTTGCATTGAGATGTTGCTCAGCCATGAATGGCATCGCCAAGATGGGCACGCCGGCTGACATGCTTTCAGTAACTGAGTTCCATCCGCAATGGCTCAAGAACCCTTTTACACTCTCGTGCCTAAGTATCTCCATTTGATCTACCCATTCTTTCACTATGATCCCTCTATCCTTCACCCTTTCTTCAAACCCTTGCAAGATCTCCAGCCGTTTTGATTTTATGACCCACAAGAAATTCACCTTAGATTGTTCTAGACCATTTGCAATTTCAAGCAGTTGCTCTTGGGATGCTTCAGCCTGAGTTCCAAATGCCACGTACAAAACTGACTTTCCATTGTGCAATTTTTTGTCAAGCCAGTGCCTCCACTTTGGCTTTGCAGATTCTTCAGCTAATAATACTGGTGGCTTGGCTTCCGCTAGAGGACCAACACACCAGGCTTTGGGCCCAATGCATCTGTTCCAGAAGTCAGTATAGGCTGCTTCAAGCTTGTAGAAGCTGTTGAGAATCATGCCGTAACTTTTTGCCATTGCAATACTTGTCCAAAACATCTACACACCCAACATTAGAAAGGATATCTACAACTAGGTTAGCTTGACGAAAACAGTGAGAGATGTGAACAAAATGATCTTGGAATTGAAAAAGCTGTCGGACACCATTTCCTCACTTGTGTAAGTTATATATAAAATTTCATATGAAATTGACTAAATTTTATCGTTTGATTAATCACTATAAATTTGTTTATTATTGTGACTCATTTTTCACTCTTCAAATGTTTAGTATAAATTAAATGCCAAAACATTCTCAAAGCAATATTATTTTTTAGTATGTTGATCTAGAGATTAAAATAAAAGTAATGACATAATCAGATAATTTTATAAAGTCATAGTAATTTAAATATATTTAAAGAAATCTAATGGAGAAGATCTTAACTCCCACGTCAATGGGATGAGTGTTATCTAGATCCCTCATTATTTTCCTAGGTTGATTTCCAATTTTTCAAACCTACACCCTATCTGAATTGAGACATGGTGAAAGAATTACAAGTTTGGATTTTGTATGGTCTATGTGTGTGTGTACACACACACATACATAGATATATATAGTATAAAATGTTGATTTTGTTATTTGAAAATGGCATTTGGATTATAGGTTTGTTATCTTTGAATTTCATATGTTTTTATTATTTTTTGAATTTGTTTTCAGGGTAAATGATTTGTAACTCCTTGTACTTTCTTTTGCATGATATCACATGACGCCCTTTAATGTTTCAAAATGTCCATATATCATCCTCCTTTGGTTTTATATAAAGTGAAAAATAGATGAAAAATTTCTGGTTATAGCAATTGACCGAGACACACCTTGTAGTTTTGGATATCTATTTTAAAATATCTATTTAACCCTCTATAGTTTTGGATAAATATCCACTTAATCACCTTGTAGTTTTGCATCTATCCACATAATCCCATTATGACGGTAAGCAAAATGGTTAGGCCATTATTTAATTTAGTATTCAAGTAAGTCCGACACTAGCATTTCAACTGATGATGTTACGGAAACTATTTTTCATCAAATTTTCAATTTACATAAAAATCACAGGGGATTAAGTGAACATTTTATAACCTTGGGGAGATCATGTGGTATCATTCAGAAGTACGGGGGGATTATGAGTATTTTGTCCTTATTTCTAATTGCACATCAAGAAATACATGTTCATACCCAATGGCTAGCTAGATCCATAAGGTTTCGAGTTAGAATTTTCTAACCATGAGGGTCTCGGTAATTGACAAATGCAGTGAGCTTGGATTTGGATCAATCAGATTCAACCTGAACGCTATCCATTGACTTTACCTAGATGTTGTATTTGTTTGTAATCCTTAATAACAAAAAACTAAAATCGTTTTCAGTGACAAGGACAATTTTTTCTTTGTGACCCTCTAACTGTAGCACGGATTTGTATTTTCAAGAATGATCATAAATCTACTGGTAACATATTGATTCAGTTATAGCAACAACTACATGAGCAACTAGCTTGGGGAGCTTGGAAGAGTATGCAAAAATCATTGAGAAGAGCTTCATACTCTGCAGATAATTTGGCATTGTTGTGCCTAAAAGAATTGCTCCTGATGTTGTTGGACGTCCTTTCTCTTCTATTGAAATTCTAATTTTCAGTAATGCATATGCCATTTAATCCATTCTGTTCCTTGATAGTTAATGAATTTATGTATTTCTCGGGCTATTAAAGCTTTTCAGATTGGGAAACCAAGTGCCCAAAGGGTGTTTGGACTCGATTATGTTGGGCCCAAATAAAACTGAGGAAAATTTTGAACCCAAAATGATCTAAAACCAAGGATGCACCGAAAGGCCCGCCAAGGCCTAATAAAAGCGAATTAAGTTTTCATTTTCGTTCAACATTTACTAAATTTTGAGAGCTCATGATTTTCTATCAGAATTTTCCCGGAGAATATAGGCCTGCCCATTACTGGTCAATTTCCATTAGGACACGAACCAAATGATGTTGTGATCAGTTAACATGTGTTAGGATTTGGCCAAAAGTTATTTGGTTACTCACACAATTAATAATGAAAACTATAATAAAAATGTAAAATAATAAAAGATAAAGACACTAAGATTTATGTAATTCGGTCAAATAGACGACGGATGTTTCTAAAGAGTGGAAGAGAGCAAATTTTGCTATTATAAGGAAGAATACAAAGATCAAGACATATTTCTAAAGCTCAAAATAAGTGAGACAACACGAGGCAGAACTCAAATTATACAAAAGGGAAAAATTCTGAAACTTGAGCTTTCATTCTCTTGTGGCCTTTGGTGGAGTGCGTTGTGGTGGTGATGCACAAAAAAAAAAAAAACTCTGTAAGAGTCTCAATTCTAATATTAGTATATTATATTATTTAGTGACTTCTTTTAGGGTTGAATGCAGTAAAATCCTTTTGAACTTTGCCTCGAGTTGCATGTTACCTACTTGAACTCATTCAATAGATACTTTGCGCTCCTACATGATGTTTTAGGATAAAAGTGCATCTCCCTTGCTGGAAATTTAAACAAAAAAAGCAAAAGTGCCTGTTCTTTGCAGTAATTATTTTTATATATCTTTTCTTCTTTTGTCCCTTTTATTTTTGGTTTTCAATTTTTCTCCCTTCTTTCATGTGACCAACTACTTTCTTTTTTTCTTTATTATTATTATTATTATTATTATTATTATTATTATTATCTATGTATTATTTTTAATTTTCATAAATATATTCTTTATTTATAGTGCTATTTACTTTTTCCTGTTAGAAGTAATAATAATCACAAATCTCCCCTTCCCTCTCCCTCTTCTTAAATCTCACATTTATTTTGCTAATTTTTTTTAAAATGTAATAAGGATAACAAATTCTACACTATAACAAAGTCTATATTAGCTATCCACATAGACTATTCCATATGGCATTTACATTAATTAATTGATAATAAAAAATAACCAATAAATAGATCATAATCACATAACTTTTAATTGTCTATGCATAAAATTCATATGAATACTACTTACTTTATTTATTTGGCATATACTCTGAAATATATAATAAAGATTCTAGTTTGCTAATATCTGTTAAACAGTTAAATTACTAGTTATATACTCTTGTGATTATGGCATGTATTTAATATTTTGTCATGCTATATAGTTTATCATGAATTTCTTAATACTATAAATAAATAAGTTAATGAATCAAAGTAAGAATGAAATTATGAGTAAGAGAAAAATAAAATATTTAAATAAGCACACAATTAGCAATAATACTAATGGGAAAGTGAAGAAAATAGTCACATGGAAAGTGAAAAGCAAAAAAAAAAAAAAAAAAAAAAGGAAAAGTAAGTAGTAGAAAAGAAAAACAAAAATGATTCACTTCAACAAATTTAATGCACTATTAGATCAAAATCTTATATATTAAAATCATGCATGCAGGTAAAGTATTAAATCATCCACTTTATAAAAAATGAATGATGATAATGTATATGATAGTTTCCCCTCAATTGTTTCAGAGAATCATCTTTAAGGTGTACTTTTTCTGAATAGCTATATTAAAAATAACATGGTTTGCATATTATATTTAAATATTTTTTCATTTTCAATACAAGAAAATATTATACATACAAAATATAGAAAAAGAATAGTACTTTATGTTTGTAGGTGTAGTGTATTATACATAGACATTGACTACACTATGCACATTAAAGTAGTATATTTTGTGAAAAATAAAGATAAATATTTTACATTGCATATTGTAATTTTTCATCCATGTTCTATCCATGTTCTCAAAATATAGTACATTTTTATATGACTTTCAATTTGAGGCTGCACTCTTTTGTCATAGCAAGATTCGCATTTAGATATTCTTGTTCCAAATTTCTGATGTCTATCCCCGACAATCCTCTTTGTTGTTATGCAACTGAAATTGAATGCTTTGCCAACTGTGTTTATCTAGTAATAATTTCAGATGGCGCAATTGCATATTGGATTTAACGGATTAATCAACTTTGTCCCCGTTAAGAAACACACTGGCCTGGATCTTGTTAATCCTCACCCGTCCTTGAGAGTAGATATTTCGCAGATGAAACCAAAAGAGTACCTTGGGCCAAGTATTCAGGAGTGGTGACTACGGTTTCCAAGAATTAGAGGTTTTGAGTTTCTTTTTTGCTGAATTTCTCTTTCTTTCTCCCGTGATTTTTGAGAATTGGGCTTCCAGCAAGCAGAGTTTTTGTGCTTCTGAGTCAGAGTTGCCTGAAATCTTGGGGGATTCCCCAGGAGCAGTTGATCGAGAAACCTTGCTAAGTTCCATACCCCTAAGCATAGCTATATATCTAAATATCATAATACAATAAATAAAAAGGATTCAATCTATAGCCATATTTTGTCCCTAGAGCTACCTTGTTACGACGTTGATAAGCTTGGAATGGAAGAAGAATCATCCCCACGCCCATTTGTTCCCTCGGCGCCGGAGAGATGCAGAACTCCTTTTTTTTTTTTTTTTCTTAATGGTGTGTTCCACTTCAGCTTCAACCTTTTAGGAGAAAGGGGAGGATGCTAACTGTTGGGCTTCACTGCTTCCCCTAATATCCTCCCTTTACCAAATCATGGGGGTTTACAGGAGATTCCAGAGGCTTGCTTGGAAAAGCTGCTATATTAAATTGCATCCATTCCCTGTTTTAAAAAATTACAAAAAAAAAAAAAAAAAAATTCAAGATTCGAGTGGTTCACGCATCTTGCACAAATTTAGTTATTTTTTTGGGTGCCTTGTGACTTCCAACTTGAGATTTCGCCTTTTGTCGAATTAAGATCCGGTTTATTTAGATTTTCGTGCTCTAAATTTTTTACGACCTCTGTTCTATCTTAGCAAAGTTGTATTAGTACGGCGCAGAAACTAGTCATCCAATCTTTTTCAGTCTCTTTTGTCGTGTTTTTCCTTCGGGAATTGCAGGGAGGTCCAACTTGGGTATGGGATGAGGATGACTGATGAGGACTAGAATCAACAACGTCTTCTAGTGTCTC